ACAACATTACACATTGTAACTAGCTTCACAGCTCAACTTCTATTTTCATTCCAGTACTGCATGCTACTAATATTTAAGAAAAGCTGTTGTTGTTTGTTATTAAGCACAAAGCTACACAAAGGGCTATCTGTGCTCTGCCCACCACGGGTATCAAAAACCCGGTTTCTAGCAGACATACCACTGAGGGGCTTAAGAAAAGCAGTAGAGCATAACCGCAAATTTTAAACAAGTATCATTAGGCATGAAACCTTGCCTTTAGCTATAACTTACACAGAAGTATTAAAAATAATAATTGCTGCTTTATGCTACATGTATCAGAGTCTTCTGTACTTAATCAAAGATAAGTAAACTAACATTTCAATTGAAACAGTTTTTATTGTAAAGATATATTACTTGATATGTTGGTACAACATCGAATTGAATAATTTATTATAAATCTAAGATATGAAAGCAAGGACGGCTAAGAGCTTTAACGCATTGATGGATGTCTTCTCCATCTTCTGCATGCTACATATACAAGACTTGTAGTTTTTAAGATGATCATGAAAAAAAATACTCCTTTTTCATCTACATAGGAGAAAATCTACAAGTCCTAGGCTAAGAAAGATTTAATATACACAACATTAGATTAAGCGAGATAAATTGAGACTTTCCGAGTAGCCTCAGTTGCCTAAGCTTAAGAGATTTATAAAGTAACAGGAATGTCGGTTCCAAAATATAAATGAATACAGTTTCTTAATATAAATATGAAGCAAGATTAGACAATATTTTACAGCTGTAATGCTCCATAGTGAGGTATCATTAGGCTGTAAAATGAAAATGTAAATTTTATTTAAATGAATTAAAGAGGGTTAGCATTTTACAACAAATTCCAATGAAAACGTTTCTAGGCCCTTAGTTACTTAATTAGAACTTACAGTCGATGACGTATAATGATTTTATTAACGAGGACCATATTTTAATGTATAATTCGAAATAACCCACCCAATAATAGAAACACTTATAATAACGGCAATATATATATATATATATATTGTTACAACAGCGGAAGTCGCGCGACACTGGGAGCATGTGCTGGAGTTCTAGAAAGATCAAAGAACCTGTCGAACGTCCTAGCATTTGCTAGACACGCACTCTTATAGTATATAAGCCGGTAAATAAAGTGACAGGATGAATATTTGCAGACAGGCAGAGAGATACAGAGACGGACAATTGCGTCAAGTGCGGTAGTGACCGTAAATACAGTGCATGTATCGTTATGAATTATAGCGTGTGTTTAAGTTAAAGTGACTGTGGAAATTAAGTGTATTGCAAAGTTGAATTGAGAAAGAATAAACTAATTTTATTTAAGAAAGGACTTGGTCCACTGAAGTTTCTCGGAAAGAATTTCTACGGGTAATTAACAAACGACCTGAGACGAGTCAAAGCGAGATAAAAAAAAAAGAAAAGAAAAAATATGGACACGAGAAGTGCCAAATCAAACTACAACTTAGCAGATTTGATTGCAGCAATACAACAACAGCAAAAGAAACGAGAAGAACGAGAAAAGAAACAATAAGAGAGATTACAGCAGTGGCAAGAAAACCTGCAACAGTGGCAGCTCAAACAGCAAAATAAACAAGATGAGAAATTAAGCAGTGGTTGCAGGAGAAAGAAAAGAAACAAGAACAAAGGCTACAGCAGTGATTGGAGGAGAAAAAAAAGAAACAAGAAGTGAGATTACAGCAATGGCAACTAGAAAGGAAATAGGAAGAAAGTCTCAAACAGTTGCAGAAAAGGCAGTAGCAACTACAGGAAAAACAACAGTTGTTGGAGGAGAAAGAAAATAAACAAGAAGAACGAGAAAAGAAACAAGAAGAGAGACTACAGCAGTGGCAACTGGAACAAGAAAGGAAACAAGAAGTACAAATGGAAAACATTAGTAAATTTCAAAGCAAATTAAATACATTAAAGGATGATTTATTGTCTTTTACGCAAGGAGGATACATTAACCATTGACTTAATCAGCCCCAGACAATGACAAGCCCCTTCCAGACCCCACAGCTAAACCCTAATGCAGACATCTTCAGTCCTGTTAGAAGTCACATCCCAAATATGAATGTCAGCAACAGGGGTGATCTAGTACGAAGAAAGCTACAGGAATCTACTGATTTTTCCAAGCCCATTCCCTTGGCTGTGGTTTCGCTAGATACTAGATAGGGACAGTGGGAATCTCGTTAATCCATTCATGTGTCTATAGAGCACTGGTAGCTGCTCTAGAACTCAGGTATGGGACTGAAAATCAGTCTGAGGTCTACAGGGCTAGGTTTAAACTAGAGTCCGTGCTAAAGGGGAGAGCCTGCAAGAGCTGGCACAGGACTTGGAGAGTATGGCACACAATGCCTTCCTAACTGTACCACCCAATCTCCTCAAGTAGTTGCTGAGGGATCAGTTTGAAGATGCCTTGGACAGTCCACAACTAAAGATACAAGTAAAGCGAGCAAACCCCTTTACTATGCAGGATGCAATGGCCAGAGCTCTTAAATTTGAATCCTACATTAAGTCCAGCACAGAGGTACCAAAGTTGATACAGTCATCAAGATTCAAGGCCAGAAAAGGGCAGCTTTCAGAGAAGATTGAGGAACTTTGCTGGCACTGTAATAAACCTGGGCACAAGAGAGCTCATTGCTGGCAACTTCAACACAGGGAAGATGCCACAGCAGGAAAGGTTGCTACCTAGAAAGGTTGTTGGAACTGTGGTGAGCAAGGACACATGAAAAGCCAGTGTAAGAAGAATACGAACAATAAGTCAGCCTCGGGGAAACCAGTAGTGGTTGGTGTTGAGGGATAGGTATGAGGCAAGATGTGGAAAAATGGTGCAGAACCTGCAGTACATGTTGTGCTAAAAGGGGACCCAAGCATAAGGGATGTGCTCCAATGAAGTTATATCAAGTTGACGCACCAATAGAAAGAGTAGCTGTTGACATTGCTGGTCATTTGCCCCAAACTCGTGCAGGAATCAGGTACATTTGTGTGGTGATGGATTATTTCACCAAGTGGCCTGAAGCATATGCAATACCAAATCAGTAAGCTACAACTGTAGCTTCGACTATTAGTGATTTCTTCTTCAGATTTGGTATGCCATACGAACTGCATTCAGATCAAGGCCGTAACTTTGAATCAGCTGTGTTCCATGAATGCTGCAAGTTGTTTGGCATACGAAAGACCAGAACAACGCCACTTCACCCACAGTCTTATGGGATGGTAGAAAAGTACAATTGGACACTGGGATAGGAATTGGCAAAGTTTTGTAATAGCCACCAAGATGACTGGGATGTCTTACTCCCTCCACTATTGATGGCCTATAGGACAGCAGAGCATGAAACCACTGGATACACTCCAGCAAAGTTGATGTTTGTTCGCGAACTTTGGTTGCCAGTGTATCTGATAACAGGATGCCCACCTTATGAAGAGTTGCCTGAAAATGTGTCAGAGTTCGTGAAAGTGTTATGGGAAATGATGGATAATATTCATCATCAAGTGCATTCAAACTTGAAAATGTCTGCTGATTCCATGAAGCTATGTTATGATAAGAAGTCTACTGAAGTCAGGAGACAAGGTGTGGTTGTATAATCCCAGGAAGACCAAAGGGAAGTCTCCTAAGTTGTCTTCTGCATGGGAAGGCCCATATGACATAGTGGATCGTCTCTCAGATGTGACTTTCCGAATAAAATGTGGTCGGCGAGGTAAGCCAAAGGTGGTGCATGCCAACAAGCTTTAGCATTATCACAGTCCAGGACATTTCAGCTGGGACAAAGTGAACAATGGAACAAATGACGCTGCTGAAGACGTGTCACCTGAAAAGCCATTTTCGAAGAAGAAACTCTACCCGGTTTAGAGAAGGGAAACATTGAAGCCCTTGATGAAGTTACTACCACTGATGTGACTGTTACTGATAATAAGACATTTCCTGATGTAGTAGATGAACCCCACGTGAAGCAGAAGCCAATGAGACAGAGGCCAGTATGGAAGAAGATACGTCCCGTAAAATTAAGAGACTTTGTTGAATTTTAATTTTGTGTTTGTAAATTCTGTACATTTAATTAAGTTATTGTTAATTATCTATTGGTTTAATTTAAATGGCTATTGTTCAGGATGAACAATACTAAGGAAGGAGCAGTGTTACGATAGCAAAAGTCGCATGACACTGGGAGCATGCTCTGGAGTTCTAGAAAGATTGAAGAACCTTTCGAATGTCCTAGCGTTTGCTAGACATGCGCTCTCTTTAGTATATAAGCTGTTAAATAAAGTGACGGGATGAATATTTGCAGACAGGCAGAGAGATACAAAGATGGACAATTGCGTCAAGAGCGGTAGTGACCATAAGTACAGTGCGTGAATCGTTGTGAATTATAGTGTGTGTTTAAGTTAAAGTGACTGTGGAAATTAAGTGTATTGCAAAGTTGAATTGAGAAAGAATAAACTAATTTTATTTAAGAAAGGACTTGGTCCGCTGAAGTTTCTCGGAAAGAATTTCTACAGGTAATTAACAAACGACCAGAGACGTAACAATATATAAGGGGTCTTAGGAGAGGAAAGTGGGGTAGGAGTGAGAGTTAGATCTGAATGCCAAGCCCTCTCCCCTATGTCACTCCCTTGGGTGCTTTATGAATGCCCATGAAATTTGGTAGAAATAAAAAAAATATCAAGGGGTGCTCAAGAGGTGACATGGAGGGGGGGGGGGGTCAGACCAGAATGGTAATACCACTACAACATCACATTTCATGTCAAGTTTGATGGGGATTGGTCAAAAACTATAGGCGTGAAGTGGATCAAATACATTTGTCCCTTGGTCGCTAAGTAACAGTTCATGAAAGAGTTGGTCGAGATCAATAAAAAAAAGTGAAAGTTATACAAAATGTGCCCCCACCCACCCAAGAGGATGTGATGGGGGACGGGAGGTCAGATGTGAATGAAATTAAATAATTATAGGGTAACCGGTTAAACTATAAATAACTTACCCTTGCCACCAGGAGTTTCTGCTTCTAAATCTAACCATTGCATTAAAATTATCCGGGAATTTCCAATGGTAGGTGTTAAGACCAGGTGTTGGAAAATGTCGGGTATCAACTACAACTACTGTTGGGTCAAATACTGGTCTGTTACTTAATCCTGAGTCTGGATATTGGGAACTGAGGTCCGGAAGGTTTCCCATAGAATCAACTCCACTGTCTAACTCGCCTTCCACTTCCCTACCATCACCAAGCGGTAGTTGCAACTTATCAAATACGTTTTGAAAATGGTTTGCTGCTCCATTCCACAACCGCTTGATTTGACCTCCCGTAGATGTTGCTAGTTCTTCAGCTCGCCGTTGCATAGCTTCCAACTCGTCTCCATACCGCTGGATTCTGCAATTTGATTTTAATAACACATACAAATTACTTTTTATTTAAAGAAGTGTACGAGAACCCCGAGTTATGCAATATATATATAAATCAGGGTTTTAAAAAGGCATATAAATTACACTTTTCTCTTCCTTTATAGAGAATTTACATGCCGAAACACCAGTATTACATAAGTAAACAGACTGGTTTAAAAAAAAAACACAAACAAAGAAGATAATTAAAAACTGTTAATAGAGATCGTCAAAAAAATTCAAAAACAAGTTGAATCAAAATGCAAAGATTATATTTTCAAGTCTACAACTAGGGACTAAAAAAATAAAACAATCTAAGCTGGAAATAGTGACTAAATTATTTTCTCAAGCTACAAATCCCTATCTTGACTCCATGTCTACAGTACTTGTTAATTTTAGTCCCTAGTTGTAGGCTTTAAAATATAACCTTCGCATTTTGATTCAAGTTGTTTCTGTTTTTTTTTTTTATGAACCCTATTCTCCTTTTTATATTAACAATTTTTAATTTATTATTTATTTATTTTCAATTTATGGAGAATACATACGTGCATATACATTCAGTTAAATGTTAGATGTTTTTCAATAGTTTACTGCTGCATTGCCTTTTTTACCACCTAACTATTATTTACTGATAAAAAGAAGTATGTTATAGGTCAAACCACATACATAAATAAATACACGCAAATGATTATACAAATACATATGGTTGTACAAGTTGAAATGTCGGGCCAATGGTTTATCAATTTGCACAACAGTATCCATTTTAAAATTTTGTTTTGAAGGTCCCTACAAACAAACATATCGGCGAAGTACAAGAAAACAAAATAATTTTTGACCTGGGAACTTTCCACCCCGATGGGCTAAATGAACGTTTTAGCTTTTTATAATATTTCCCATTTTAGTTTTATCCTTTCCTAAAAAGTTTTATACAGTAAATTTTGTATTTATTCTTTTTAAACTATAATGCATGTATATTCATATGCGTGTGTTTGTATATGTGTGTGTGTATATATATATATATTTCTATAATCATTTGTGTGCATTTATTTAGGCGTATCTGTGTGTATATATATACACAGCGTGGTCACAAGTAAATAGACACCACCGTTTCAGGAAAATGAAATTTTGCAGTCATATTTCACATGAATTGATATATTTATAATTTAATTAATATCTAGTAGATCTTCCTTTCGCTTCGTGGAGTTCGTTGATCCTTTGGGGCATCGTGAGAATCATCTCGTCAATTTTAGAATGTGGGATTTTCGCCCACTCTTGCTTCAAAACTTGGAGTATATCACTCTTCGAAGTTGTTTTTTTAGGTTGTTTCTTGTATGGCCCAGGGGTTTTCGATGGGGTTCATATCAGGAGATTGGCTCGGCCAGGGCAACTTCTGGATACCATTTTTTCTCCTGCCACTTTTGGGTGTTTCTAGCAGTGTGACATGGTGCTCCATCTTCCCGAAACAACGTTGTGTTCTTGTCCACG